AATCTTATATTTGTACATATTAACAGGGTGTATGCAGACAAATACTCAGAAGCTCAGAAGCACGAACTACATGAATGCTGAGAAAATCACATTATTTTCATGATCAAAGATTTGTAAGAATACCAGATAAAAGAATACAATAAGCTATGAAAAAAGGTCCAAATCTAAGAGACTGGAGGATGAAAAGGGCTTGGAGGGAGGCTTGTATGCACCCAGTTTATCTAAAAGTTCAAGTGCACACTGTTATCAGATGGCAAGGTTAAGCGATAATCTACCAAAGCCTTTAGATTATTTTCTATTCTTGTATATAAAGAGACAAGACCATCTTTATTTTTAGTTCCTGGTGCAGGTCAGTGCTTACAGCCCTGTTCACATGCGCAAAAATATTCCTGCACATCAATTAGTCAAAGTAACACATGTGAGCCTGAGGGTGGGAGGGCGTATCCGTTTGGGAGTTTCTGCTTATGCATTTCTGTTGTAAGCATGTTGAACTTTGACCCACATTTAACACACGAATGCTTTCACAAGTGTGTGTGTGTGTGTGTGTGTGTGTGTGTGTGTGTGTGTGTGTGTGTGTGTGTGTGTGTGTGTGTGTGTGTGTGTGTGTGTGTTAAACCACAGGAACAGCCTGAGAGTACATCTTGTGTCCTTTTTACTTACATTTAAATATTGTAATAGTTTGAACGAGGTGAGATAGAAAAACTTTTTTCTCTGTAGACTCCTGATCAAAACTTTAGTATTTTCAAGTATTTGTAAAGATTATTTATTTCTGCTTTTACATTTTTCCATCCAGCCCACATTAGCATGAATGAGTAGCGTCATTTTATTAGTACATATTTTTTATTTTAGGATCTACCCTTTGTGGATAAGTGTTTCAGGTGCACACACACACACACACACACACACACACACACACACACACACACACACACACACACACACACACACACACACACACACACACACAGAGTGTTTAATCTGTCTAAACCGTTTGCCTAATCTGCTCTTTGAGAACAATACCATTCATAGATCTGCATCAGAACACCGACACATGGCCAACTATCCTCTGTTACAACCTGTTGTTGCCAAGTTGCATCACTTCACACAACTTATGAGGAAAGGAGGATGAGGAGAATCGTGACCTGGAGGTGTGCTGTCAGTCGTGATCACATGATGTAGGGCAGCAGGCTGGATCGCTCAGATCTCTTTGTGAAACTTTTCATCTTTCTCTTTGTCTCAGTGTCTTACTTTGTTTTTCCTGTTTTATGTTCCTTTGTAACATCTCCCCGTGGGTTTTTTTCCTAGTAAAGTCGCAGAATCAAACTCAGGTGTGTTTCTGTCCACCTGTGCTGTGGGTGTGTACCTGCTGGAGGGGAGAGCTGGTGGTTAACTGGAAAACTCAAGATGGAGAAATAAGAGAGTCTGATGCAACTAGTAGACACAGGAAAATGCAGAGCAACACACACACACACACACACACACACACACACACACACACACACACACACACACACATTTCATTTGGTAGGTCAGTAGAACACACATGCTCTCTCACGCTGTAAAACAAAAGCAATACTGGAAAACTCACGTAGGAAGCTGCTGTTTGTTTGTTTTTAGTAAAAACAGAACTGAAGTTGTTGGATTTTCAGAATATTTTCTGTTTATTTTGTTTTGTTCAATTGAACATTTACATATTAATGCACGCAATCGTGTCCTTTTACTAAAGAAATGGGGCTACGGGGGCGGTCTCTGCACTGCCGGGGACGTCTGATTATTTTGGATATAACTTTCTATTTTACTGCGATCAAAGCCGCGCTCATTAAGTTTTTTTTAACAAGCCAACCCTAAAGGTGTCTGACCTCCACAGTGCCAGTGCCGTCTCCGGTGGTCTGACCCCCAGCTCTAACAGAGAGAAGCTCCTGGAGCTCTGCTTCGCTCCAGTTTATCGTCTCAGCTCATCATGTTCGAAAAGCAAAACTTACTGGCCGTGTTTACTTTCATTTTCATTATAGTTGCCAGCCGAAGCTCGGCAGTAACGCCCCACGTGAGGTCCGGCGTTGCAGCAATTTTACTACCAAGTATGGCGGCGTTCCTGCAACGCCATGTCACCACAGCGCGCTCATAAGGCTCACCGTGGCGGCAACATTACGCTGATTTGCCGGCATGGTGTGTGTTCTAAAAAGGGCTAAACAGACCCACTTAGATTATTCATCTTAATCTTGGTGTGTTTAACAGTAAAAGGATCAAAATGCTCCAAAAATAACAACAATATTCGTTTTTAAGCTTTGAGGCATGCAGGACGTAAACAGGCGAGCTAAAATGATCCGTTGTAAATGGTAAATGGTCTGTATTTGATATAGCGCCTTCTAGAGTCCTGGAACCCCCCAAGGCGCTTTACAACACAGTCATTCACCCATTCACACACACATTCACATACTGGTGGGAATGAGCTACGATGTAGCTACAGCTGCCCTGGGGCGCACTGACAGAGGCGAGGCTGCCGAGCACTGGCGCCACCGGTCCCTCCGACCACCACCAGCAGGCAAGGTGGGTTAAGTGTCTTGCCCAAGGACACAACGACAGCGACAGACTGAGCGGGGCTCGAACCTGCAACCTTCTGATTACGGGCGAGCGCTTAACTCCTGTGCCACCGTCTCCCCTTTTGTCAAAATCTATGATGTTTTTAAGCCTTTATTGCAGAAGAAACTGATGTTTATTTTTGCAACATGACAAATCATTAAATATAATTAAGCTGCAATAAAATACTTGGAATATCTGAGTTTTTTAACAGTTGCTGGTTGTTCCCTCGACTTAAGACACGAGACGGAGCCTGTGGATTATTGCTGAGTTGCTTTTTTACCTGCCTGCTTTTCTCATTTCCTGCTGTTCTAACAAGCAGAACAAGGCAGCCTTCAGACACTGAACGGGAGAATATAGTCTACAGAAATATAGAAATGTGATGACAACATGCTGAAGACTAAAAAGTTATTCCAATTCTTTTTTATTGAGTTTTAAATGAACTTTAGTCCTGAGCCACTAACTCTAGCGAGCAGAGCCCACCGGCTGGTGTTGTAAACAGACTCGGGCCTCAGGTGAACTAGAAATGATTATACACTTATATCATTCAGCTTTTAGAGGGTTATAAATAATTAGCAACACTTGAAACGTTGGTGTACTTTAACAAATGTGTAATTTGTTTTTGAGCGCCTGAGGATTTGTGTAGAGGGATTGATGAAGATCTAAACTCCAATATCCTTCACATGTTTTTGTTAAATGTAGTTTTTTGTGTCACAAATGATCCCGTTAAAGCTGTGATGAGAGTTTTATTCTACAAAGTTAAACTTACAGACAGTCACAGTGATTATAAATCTTGTAAAGTGATGACATTTCATCACTAAACTTTGCCTTTAAGACTGATATTTTAGGAGCGAGTGTGCTGGCTCCGAGCCCTTTAAGAGCAGGGGATTAGGATGATGCTGATGCTCCGTGTCTTGGCCTGTGTGTCTTGTCAGTTTTCTCTGTGTGGGGCCGGCCTTTGGAGCCAGATTTGCTCGCTGCATCTGGCTGTTGTGTGTAGAGATTTCATGGTAGACGGAGAAAGGAAGAGAGAGAGACTGAAATCGGAGGGATGGCATGTGACTGTGTGGATGTGTGTGTTGCATGTGCAGTGAAGCTAACTAGAGCAGGATGCATACACGCATGACGGCCTGGCTGCAGCCTTGTGAAACTCGGCATCCTGCATCAGTGTATGCAAACGCACGGACACACACAACTGTTCCATTTTCCGCGTGAGTGGAAGAGATGCATCTATGACTCAACTTCAGCTGGAAATCATGTGTTTATTTTCGTGTAGAAATATGATTGAGACTGAATGAGCATCATGACTAGGCCTCGTCACCATGAGTGACTTTTCCCATTCAATTCAATTCAATTTTATTTATAAAGCACCAAATCACGACGAGTCGTCTCAAGGCACTTCCCATAATAAACCTTCCAATTCAGGTCAGTTCATTAAGCCAATCAGAAATATGTTTCCTATATAAGGAACCCAGCAAATTGCATCGAGTCACTGACTAGTGTCAGTGACTATACAGCAATCCTCATACTAAGCAAACATGCAGCGACAGTGGAGATGAAAACTCCCTTTTAACAGGAAGAAACCTCCAGAGAATCCTGGCTCAGTATAAAGCCTGGTTTATGTTTGACGCATTCACTTTCCGCTCGGTGATGCGGCTCGCGGCTGGAACGCGCTTCACAACTCGCAGCGTTTATGTTTCGTGCGGCTCGTCTCTGCGGTGAGCCAATATTCTCCCAAACTGTAGGGGGCAGCATGGAGCTCTACGGCATGCATCCAACACTACACCATAGTAGAAGTAAAAATGACTGTTTACAACACGGCATTTCAGCATTTTTAACAGCGTTCTCGTCTTTTCTGACAGTGCGAGCTATTTCTCTCCAAGAATTATTAACAACATGTTGCTCACGGTGATCTCTGAGAGCTGAATCATACAAATGTCTGTATTTACCAACCTCTGCCATACTACTTCTTGCCAGTCCGCCATGTTTTTCTGCGTCCGTCCGTCCGTGTGGTTAGAAATTTTCCGAGGTGCGTGTTGTGGAAATTCTGGGCCGTGCGGAGGCGCGGTGGAGGGGCGTGGTTTTTAAAGTGACGCAAAATGACGCAACGTTTCTGCGCGGAGCCGTGCGGACCTCGCGGACGCGTCAAGCATAAACCAACCTTAAGCAGCCATCCTCCACGACTCACTGGGGATGGAGAAGACGGAGCAGACACACACACACACACACACACACACACACCAGTTACTGAGGAAAACACTTAAGAAACTCCTACAGGATTCAGACATGTGTGTAATCTGTAGAGTAGGTGTATCTAATGTGTGTGTGAGGGGTGGCAGTTTAATGTCTGATGGTACTTTTGATAAAACAAGTCTGTCTTCTTTAAGGAATGAATTAAATAATGTTGTTTTTTGAACCTCCAGGTCTAGCTGGCCAATGCCGGGGCCGACGTGGACACCTGGTGGCGGTAGCAGCAGCGGTAGTGTGTATGTGAGTGTGGTCCCCGGCGCCTAGCTCATGTCCAGCCCAAAATGCCGTCGTCCACACGGAAAGGGGCGGTGAAGGACCCCGAGCTGGCCGACCTCTTCTTCAAAGATGACCCAGAGGACGTCTTCTGTGACCTGCATGAAATCGGTCATGGCAGCTTCGGGGCCGTCTACTTTGTAAGTTCCACTTTTACGAGTTTCAGTTTCATCTCGACTGAGCTTTGATGTCTCTAATCTGAAACGAGACAAACATCAAAAGCACAGGAGAGGACCTTGAGAGTAGAGCTGCACCTTTCTGTTTTATTGATTTATTTTTATGCTGAAGGGGAACTCCAGCTGAATTTATAGGTGCCCACCTTTACTTCTGAGCTAAGCGACTGCATTCACAGACTCAGCTCTGCCTTCTGTGACCCAATTTCTAAGACCTTTACCAAAGAAAACTCAATGCAACAAAAAGAAAAAGATTAGGATTACTGTAAATTTAATATTGATTATGTTAATTTAAATTAAAATTTAGAGTTTCTAAAATTATTTACTTAATATACCTTAAATATTTTAACAAAATCCAATATTTGTTTAATGATGTATTCGTATAATTCACTCCTGATTACTCTTTAGGTGGAGAAAAACCCGAAGCGGGTCTGGTCTTGGTTCTCAAATCTGGATATTCTGTGAATTTTCTGACAAATTATTTCTGAAATGACTTCTACTGAGACACCGCTAGAAAAACCATACATCCCATCTGCAAAGACACACTGGATGGCACAATTACATGTAACGCCACCTGCATGTTAGCAGATGTAGTGGTGAAGTGGTTATGGAGGCAGGTTGACATGCAGTTTTGCACAGGCTCGCCTCCCAGAAGCGGCTGTTTAAAGGTAGTTTATAACCCTTTTCCTTCTTTTCTAGCTGCACTTGCCAGTACTATGTTTACAACCATTTACTGGTATACCGTTTAACATGTAATGACTAATGTGTTTGTTTATTTATTTATTCGTTTATTTAGCCAGTGTGAGTCCATTTGTGAGCAGAGTTTCAACTAAAATGCTGTTTAGGAACGACCAAATTCAAACTTTAGAGACATAAATATTTTGCAGAAAATAAACATTACAACTAAAATACAAACAAATTAAATGTTTCAGCTGGCTAAATAGATAGCTGCCGAGCCCACCGAGAGTCGAACCAGCATCAGCTGAGGGGAAAGCAAAACTTAAGTCAGACGATCTTGCCACTGGACCACCAGAACCCGCACATCAATATGCCTTAAATGCTGTTGTAGGCCGCTTTTGTTGGAGCGGATGTGGACAGATATTTGGTAAAAGAAACCTTTTCATTTCAGGATGTATTCAGGCTCTGTCATGTAGCGAGTTATATTTATCGTGTTTAGCTGGAGCGTAGAACATAGCATTAACAGTTGTAAACTAGTAACAGCCGTAACTCATGTGGCTCAGGTTAGTTTGCCATAAAGTTGAAAAACAAAAACAGAAGAAGTCAGTGGGCGGGGCTGAGTTTGTGTGAATGGGCGGGGCTGACTCCGGTGCAGCTCCGCCTTTGTAGTTCTGCAGCGAGCACCCTCTCTCAATAAATGGGACACACTTCCTGCAAATGAATTTTCACGATTGATGCTAATACCTATGGTCCTTCAATGGATGTGCTCCTGGCTGCAAAGCTTTGCACCTTAAAATACAAAAATCTGTTTTTACTTGGAGTGTTTATGTAGACAAATAAACTTGTTGATATGATATGTAGATAAATATGTAGATACATACACTTGTTTATATTCAGTACAAGTTACATAGATTTTTTTTTGCTTCCATTAGTTGAAAAATGAGAAAAGCCCCTTGAGAAAATAATTGTGAATTCAATCGCAATTGGATTACTTTCCAAAATCGTCCAGCCCTAGTAGGAAGTCAGAGCGGTAGATAGAAAGGTAGGAGGTTCCTGTCTGTCAGAGCTTTACTATCAGCCTCTATCTTGTGTCAAACACACACACACACACACACCCCGCCATGTCCATGTCCATCAGGCTAACAGGCTCGTCTAAATCCTGCCCAGTTGCCAGCGCTGCACTCGCTGACTCTCTTCAAAATAAACTTTGCAATGCTTTTAAAAGGATTAACGGTTTTACTATAATTATCGTTGGTCATAACGATGAATTTTACCCCCAAACAGTGTGTGACATGTTCATCTAGCACGTAGCATCTTCACCCTGAAGCATGAGAAGAATGTAGCTGCTGTGAAAACCCACAGTACCTCTATCGTACCAGGATTTATCCACGCTAAAGATATTAAGTATGGATACTCTCCTAATTTTTACTCTATGCTGGGTTCAAATGGGATGTAGCATCAGTGGAGGAGCCAGTAACCATCACGGCGTTGAAGTAGCTTTTGGTTTACAGCCAAGTCTGTTAGTGAAGTTATTCTAAATGAGAATAAAGGTTTTATTGTTCTTTAACTAAAGTTTTAATCTTGACTAATAATAAATTATCATTGCAGGATCAATATTACAAAGACCTGTTATTTTAATACGTGTTGCATTTAAGCTCTGCATCCCAGTCTGATGGCCTCACTGCTCCAGACACCCGCACCCATTTCACATGATGGTGGCTGAGATGTTAAAGCTAATGGAGAGAGGAACAAGCTTGTTTTTTTCTAGTTTCATGCAGCCGTCGTAAAGGCTGCTCTGGACGTGCACTTGTAGAATCACAGGGTTTAAATGAATGCTGACCCTGTAATTCCACATGAATCTCAACACAACATTCCCGTTTGTCAGAGGGATGAAGGCAAGATAAGAGCTTAGGCTTAGCCACTTCACACTGTTGTCCCAAAGGCCGAGTGCTTCCGAGGTGAATGCAGCAGGTCTTACACGGAGACGCGGATGTGGACTGACAGCTGTGACACTTCACAGTAGTTACCGAGTTGCACTCGCCTCCAGGCTGCCCCTGTTTACATGTTACCAGGTACAAACTTCCACTGGGATGCTTTACATGTAACAGAAAATCTGCTTCTCTGGTTCTGGATGTCAGTCACTTCTAGTTCTGCACAAACCCAACGTCTGAAATGTTTAAACTTGTAGCAGAAAAGCTCGTTGCTGAATGAAGTTGTTCAGCTTTATGCAGTGAAACCAAGAGGCAAGCTCCACCTGCTGAAACTGAAGCCAACGCTGAAGTGACAAAACTAGCGGTTCCCCCTTCGTCCACTAGGGGCTGGCTCCGGAAATGATAGTTCCCATTGACTCTCATGTTAAAAATGCCAACTTTACAGCAAAAATAAACACATTTGCAGCCTGGTTTAAAAATCCATTTTAGCTTTAATGCGACAAGTTTACCATCACGACAAGTCTGAGGGGGTGAATTTAATTGTAACTCATCCATTTAGATTTAAATAAAGCTTGAAATTGTGAATTATTGAGGGTGTGTCCTTTTGATTAACAGATAGCAGATGAGCTGCTAGCGCTTGCGGCTTTCCCCCCCTGCTTGCTCCAGAAAAGGCCTCGGCCCTTACGTTAACAGCGTCACAGCCTAGGAGGCAGAGGGTAGCAGAGTCACTTGTTTTCTGGCTAAAAACGCCCGCCAACCTCTGTATGCTTCGGTTAGCTCCGGGTTAGCTCCGGGTTAGCTCGGTTAGCTCGTAGCTACATCGGTCTAGAGTTTGATGGGTGTCAATCATCTGCCCACACCCTCACAGCCCCACTCTCAGCTGTTTTTACCAGACGTGACGAAACACATGACCTATGGGACACAGCACGGAGGCTCCATATGTTATATGTACAGTCTATGAAACACACGTCTTTTTATGTTTATGAACCATAATCTTTTATTTGTGTTGTCAAGTTCTGTTGAATGAGTCTTACAATCAAGTAAATCCCTTCTTGAGTTCTGCAGGATGACTGCTTGTGTTTTTACTGAATTAGTCCCTGTTAAAGTTTGTCTTTTTTTCTTTAGGCACGCAACTCCTACTCCAACGAGGTGGTGGCCATCAAAAAGATGTCCTATAATGGCAAACAGACTACTGAAGTAAGAAGGGAATCACACTCGAGCCCAGCAGCACACCACGTGACATGCACACGCATCACCGCCGGGTTTTGGACTTTGTTTCTCGTTGGTAAAACGTTTGAGAATCCTTCTTTGAGGCCACTTACGGAGGTTCAAAACCCAAAAGCTTGATGCTATCTTGTAAGATGTCTCTTGGGGACACAAATATTGTGAAAACAGAAACTCACTACCAAAAACAGCTCATTCTCTGCTCACAAACCTGGCTTGCAATAGCAGCACACACCTCCTTTGTTCTGATGTTTGATATTCCCAGACGCTTCTCACCCCAGAGCTCTAGCCTTTAAAATGTATTCATGTAGGTCAAATGCCAGAAAACCTTGTGATCTGTAAATGTATGAAATAAACTTGTAGGGAAGTCTTAAGTCATTCACTTCCAGCCGTTTCCTGATCGCTAACGGCCTTCGCTGCCAGCGTTTCTCACCATTTTTACTGTTTTTTAAGAGTGACAGAACGTTGCGCGCTAGGATGATGTCGACGCCAAAACAACCAAAACAAAGAGGAGACTCACCTCTTACATCAGGAAAATCCGCGTGTTTCGAGCTTTATCCGTTCTTTCATAATCCGTTGTTGAATTGTGATCGGCAGAAGCTTTTCCGGTTTGCGCCTCACTTATTTTACAGCAGCGGCCCAAAACCATCTCCTAACACATGGATGTTCTGCTTCCTGATCACGTGACGTGTGACGTATGTGGTTGAAGATCAGCTTTAGAGCTGAGATGTTTGTTCTCACGGTGTGGGGGCTCGTCCGACGTCCACACAGTAAAAACATGAAAACGACGACTTTAGTCGTCAGTGGCAGTGAACGAGTTCATGCCTGCATCCTGGCTTCCAAACCCTTAGTAATGGCTTTGGCGTTTTTAAGGAACAGTGTTTGTATTTTAATAACCTTCTGTGCATTTATTTTTTCACAGAAATGGCAGGACATCATTAAGGAAGTCAAGTTTTTGGGACAGCTGCGGCACCCAAACACCATCGAGTATAAAGGCTGCTACTTGAAAGACAACACTGCCTGGGTTAGTGGAACATCCTCTTATCCTCGTATTGTGCATTTCTCCATATGTTGTAATGAATACAACTCTGGAATTGTGTCCAAGCTGAGAAAAACTTCCTGCTCTGAGGCTTTGTGTTTAGGAAGTTTCACATCACACTTTCCTAAAGTCACGGGCTTTGTGCTTCGGTTTCAGCTGGTGATGGAGTACTGCCTCGGCTCCGCGTCAGACTTACTAGAGGGTAAGAATAAACCTTTTCACCTCTTTTCATTGTTTCTTTTGAGGAGGAACTGATTGGATGACTCGATGCAACCTGCTGGGTTTCTTATACAGGAAACTTTCTACTGATTGGCTTAACGAACTGAACTGGAGTGTTTACTGTGTGAAGGTCCTTGAGACACCTCATGTCGTGATTTGGCGCTTTATAAATAAACTGAACTGAGTTGAATTAACCTCAGCTGTTTTTAAAGATCCAAGTCGTGGAATACTCTAATCCAGGGGTGTCAAACTCACCCACACGGGGCTGAAATGAAAATCTGGGACGGAGTCGCGGGCCGAACTTAATATTTTTTGAAAAAGCGACGGCAAATTTGCACATTTTCTCTATCAACATAAATGCAATTTTGAACCTTTTAATTTGGAAACAAGCTTATTTCTGCATTAACACTGAATGTGGAATAACCAAATTACACACGAGCAAGTCAGATTTAAATAAAACGCATCAGTGGTATTCATTACTTGTGGTATAATCAGCATTTTTAAATCTATCCAGGATTTATGCTGTTGATTATTCATTTTTCTTATGTTTTACTGTAATACGTGTCATCGCTGCTGTGACAGCTTTCCCCACTGAGGAACAATAAAGGGATTTTCTATTCTATTCATCTATCTGCAGCCTTTCCACTTCCTGTTTACTGTAGGTTAAATCTTTTCTCACGGGCCAACAACAAAATAAAAATATCATTTTATCTTAAATGAAAATGCAACATCTCACCTGTTAACTTTCATGTTTTGGAGCAGAAAAAGAGCATAAAACCAACATATTTAAAGCTCAGTTTGCTCCACTGGTTTACTGTGATGCTCACCTGTTCCAGCCAGATACCTGCATCAAGGGGCTGATCTGAGCTGAGGAGGAGACTCCTGTTGTTTTGTTCATCTTCATCATAATAATGACAACATTAGATGACAACAGGTGCTCACATAGGTTTGTGCTGATGAACATGTCTGAGCAGCTTGACCACGTTGTTGTGTGTCGGGGAGGAAAAATAACAACTACAGCAGCCACAGAGTCGTGCTGGTTTGAGCGTGTCGCTGCTCGCTGGAGTTATATCAGCTCTGTCTGGAAGTTAGCTGGAAAACTTTCTCTTTCAGTCGTGAACACATTACTGAGCAGCTAGAATCTCCGTTTCTGGGCTTCAACGTCGGCAAACAGCTGAGTGAGCTTAGCGCTGAGTGAGAGGAGTGTTTAGTTTGTCCGAGACAGCGGAGCTGCAGACACCGGCAGCAGACGCTGGGAAAAACACAAAGGAGGGGGCGCTTAGGCTCCGCACTGACGCCGCAAAGCATCATGGGAGTTGTAGTCTTTGTGGTAAAATCGGCCAGCGGGCCAGTTTTAATATATTTTTTATATTTATGTCGCGGGCCACATAAAAATGCTCCGCAGGCCTTGTGTCTGACACAGGTGCTCTAATCAGTGACTTGTCCTTTCTGCTGATTTGTAGAAAAATATCCACCCTCTAACATTACACTTGACCCTGTGCTGTATTCATTAAGGCATTTCCCATTAACAATCGTAGATATTTTACCTTTGCACAGACTCTCTCCGTGAATAGAACAAATAACAACGTAGAACATGTTTTCTTTAAAAGTGTGATGTTGTGATTTCTTGGTTCCTGATCAGCCATGAAGTCTGCAGCCACACCATGATGCCCTTAAACGTCTCACCCCAACAGCTGAAACTGGTTTCTAACATACACGCATGTGTTTTACTCCCTAGTTCACAAGAAACCGCTCCAAGAAATGGAAATCGCTGCCATTACCCATGGTGCCTTGCTAGGACTGGCTTACTTACATTCCCATAATATGATTCACAGGTGAGTGTGTTGGGACCTGGTGGTGACAGATTCAGAATCATGATAAGATTAGTTAAGACACTCCTGTCCTTGCTTTTATTGCAGCGTTCAGTTATTTAGCTGTAAAACGCGTCTTTAAACCCTCTCTTACCACTTGTTATCGTTAATGCTAGGAAGACGTGATACCGGAGGTGAGATAAGGGTTCCTTTGACTGCGAGAACTTTAAAATGACAGCAGGATCATTAAAATGAGCATCATATTCAGACGTACATGCTGCCAGAGCACAAGGAGGAGCTCAGGTGGTAGAGCGGGTTGCCTCATGATCGGAGGGTCATGGGTTCGATTCCAGCTCCCGCCAGGGGTATCCTGCTGTTGTGTCCTTGGGCAAGACACTTCACCCAACTTGCCTGTGTTAGTGGTGGTCAGAGGGCCGACGGCGCCAAATGGCAGCCTCGCCTCTGTCAGACCTCCCCAGGGCGGCTGTGGCTACAAGTAGCTTACCATCACTAGCTGTGTGTGAATGTGAGAGTGTGAAAGCGTCTTTGTGTGTCTAGAAAAGCGCTATATAAGTTCAATGCATTATTATTAATATGTAGTTCGTTTGGCCGTTATTTCATCTTCATGTGCTCCGCCTTCCTCCTCAGAGACGTGAAAGCTGGTAACATCCTGCTGACTGAGCTGGGTCAAGTCAAACTGGCCGACTTTGGCTCCGCCTCCATTGCCTCACCTGCCAACTCTTTCGTCGGAACACCTTACTGGTCAGAATGAACGCAACTGTTTATTTGAACGGGGTTTTTGTTTTTTCCCCGTTATTTACTTTGATTTGTGTTTTATTAAACTGCCTCAGCTCACACACTCCCGGCCTTTCTGACGATGAATGAAATCATGGCTGAAACATCTGGGCTAGTTGTCACACGCAGAAAAGTTGTTACACGTTCCAGAAACGGAGCATCTATCACAGCATACCAGAGTCTTAAAAAGCTCTGAGAAGCTTAGCAGATTATAACGTTTTCATGGATTTGTGCGTGTGTGTGCGTGTGTGTGTGTGTGTTAACGATATTGTGTGTTTCTCTGTCCTCAGGATGGCCCCAGAAGTGATTTTAGCCATGGATGAGGGTCAGTACGAGGGGAAAGTGGACATCTGGTCTCTAGGGATCACCTGTATTGAACTGGGTGAGAAAGCTCTGACTAACTGGTCAAATTAAAGACTGATGCGTTCACTCAGGTGAAAGTTTAACAGATCTAAGCCGGTTTAAATAAAATACAGATAAAGTGAAGCACATAACGACTTGAGCAGACTCCAGAGGCTTCCGCCTCGATCAAAGAAAAGCTGATTTGTTGTTTTGAAACTTCCAGCAGCAAAAGTATGTTGTGCATCTTTGACTCTGTCGTTTTCTACTTTAGCGGAACGTAAACCACCTTTGTTCAACATGAACGCCATGAGTGCCTTATACCACATCGCACAGAACGACTCACCCACGCTGCAGTCAAACGAGTGGTGAGTTCAAGTTCCCAAACTTTTGTTTGACAGAATAAAAAATGTTTTGTGGCATCGTTGCAACTAACCTCAAACATGAAGCAAGAAACAGTTAAACATGAAAATCTGATCCACTCATGGCCCAGCCGGCGTAAGACGCTGCTCTGGCCTGTGAGCACTGCGGCAGGCCTTGCTTAAGGTCACACTGAGATGTGTTACGTAACGCCGAAGGAAAACCGCCACCAAGCAAATGTGGTTATTTCTGTGTTGCTCCACATCTCAACAACAACACAGCACCGTTATTCCCACACCGGTTCAAACACAAACTAAACGTGACGTGTTCTAGCTGCTAAAATAATCTGCCTCCTGCTGTGTTTTCTTCAGCTTTGAACCTTGCAGCTCGCGACTGGGATTGCTGATCGAGTCTTTAGCGGATATCCTTTAGAGGCCAACCAATGTGGGTTTTTTTAGGTCGATACCGATTTTTTAAGGATGTCGTTGTCGATGGCCGATATCTAAAGCCGATTATTAAGGCTGATATATAAACGTTTTAGCAACTTATTGATGCTGAAAGACAACTGAACGCTCACTGTGTGTAATATAAATTAAACAAGTTGACACAACTCTGGAGAGGAGGGTCCGATCGATAGCTGAATCTCAGATAGAGGAGGAGCAATGTGGTTTTCGTCCTGACCGTGGAACTGTGGACCAGCTCTATACCCTTGCAAGGGTGATGGAGGGGGCATGGGAGTTTGCCCAACCAATCCACATGTGTTTTGTGGATTTGGAGAAGGCTTATGACCGTGTCCCCAGGGGCACCCTGTGGGGGACGCTCCAGGAGTATGGGGTGGGTGGCTTTCTGTTAAGGGCCATTCAGTCCCTTTACCAGAGGAGCGTGAGTTTGGTCCGCATAGCCGGTAGTAAGTCGGACCTGTTCCCAGTGAGGGTTGGACTCCGCCAGGGCTGCCCGTTGTCACCGGTTCTGTTCATCACTTTTATGGACAGAATTTCTAGACGCAGCCGTGGTGTGGAGTGTGTCGAGTTTGGTGGCAGGAGAATCTCGTCTCTGCTTTTGCGGATGATGTGGTCCTCCTAGCTTCATCCAGCTCTGACCTTCAGCTCTTGCTGGGTAGGTTCACGGCCGAGTGTGAAGCAGCTGGGATGAGGATCAGCACCTCCAAATCTGAGACCGTGGTTCTCGACCGGAAAAGGGTGGCTTACCAACTCCGGGTCGGGGGAGAGGTCCTACCTCAAGTGGAGGAGTTAAGTACCTCGGGGTCTTGTTCACGAGTGAGGGTAGGAGGGATCGGGAGATCGACAGGCGGATTGGTTCGGCGTCTGCAGTGATGCGGACGCTGAGCCGATCTGTCGTGGGGAAGAGGGAGCTGAGCCAGAAAGCCAGGCTCTCGATTTACCGGTCGATCTACGTCCCAATCCTCACCTATGGTCATGAGCTTTGGGTAATGACCGAAAGAACGAGATCGCGGATACAGGCGGCCGAAATGAGTTTCCCCCGTAGGGTGGCCGGGCTCAGCCTTAGAGATAGGGTGAGGAGCTCGGACATTCGGGAGGGACTCGGAGTAGAACCGCTGCTCCTCCGCATCGAAAGGAGTCAGTTGAGGTGGTTTGGGCATCTGGTCAGGATGCCTCCCGGACGCCTCCCCGGGGAGATGTTTCGGGCATGTTCTGCCGGCAGGAGGCCCCCGGGTCGACCCAGGACATGTGGGAGAGGTTACATCTCCAATCTGGTCCGGGAACGCCTTGGGGTCCTGCCGGAGGAGCTGGTGGACAAGGCCGGGGAGAGGACGGTCTGGAGCTCCCTAATTGGGATGCTGCCCCCGCGACCCGGACCCGGATAAGCGGAGGAAGAGGACAACAACGAATACAACTCTTAATTTTTATTTAACTTAAAATATAAAAAAAATTCAAAACATTCAAAAAACAGCGTGTTGGGGTCCTTCAGGGCCTTTTTTCAGTCTAGTAGTGGTGGCAGTCGGCCACACAAGTGCCAGATTTTTATTTATTTATTTATTTTAATCGGCTTTTAAAAATAATTTCGGCCAGTGGCCGATATAGAAGAAATTGAATAAATCGTCCCGATATATCGGTTGGCCTCTAATATATATTTGTCATTTAGGCCATCAGTTTTCAAACCGCTCCTCTACTATCGCTGTGCAACACTGTCTCACCTGACAGTTTTTATTCCTCACTCAACTAATAATTTAAGTCACCCTCTGAAAAATAATCAGTGGTAGTTGATTATTTCACATGAAATTAGCTTCTTTTTTTACCCCGGTCGTACCGATTTAAGAGTTTAAAAACTATATTTCTTCATTTAGTGTTTGGAAGCAAAATAACATTTAGACACAAAACGTTTCATTCTGTTTTCAGCCTGATTAAAACACCCACTGGGTCTGAGTGGATGTCCGTAACACCCTAAAGGAGTTTAGATCTTCTACATCGAGATGGTTTAGAAAGATGACAAATACATTTAATTTCATGTGTTTTACGGAGGTATAGTTCCTTTTTATTGACATATTAGTTATTTGTAAAATATTTGAAGTTCTTTTTTATTTAGTAGTTTTTTGGCATTAAAGGCGTGAGACACTAAAAACCCATTTTAAAAATCTTATTTCTGATTATAATGATTCACTCAGAGTTTTTCAGGCAGGCTGAACATGAAGATAGTCTCCTACACCTGTCTCCTGCAGTAGCTTCTGATAGAAAACAGACAGTGAAACTCTAGGATTGGAAAATCCTGACAGATCTACGTCACCCTGTCACTTACATTCATGGACTCACCCATGTTGACTCAGGCTGTTGTTGGTTTAGCCTCCAGGAAACAGCAGAGAACGTCTCGACTAGTAGAAGCTAACCGTTTGCTTTAGCAACTCCACCACACAGCCAGGCTAGTGCTATTTGTGGAGATCAAACCTCAGCGTTTCAAGTCAGTGGAGTCGTGTTGCTGTTATCCAATCTGAGGCGGGAAGTCCAAATATCAGGAGAAAAGACTCTAAATCCCGCTGTCTGAAGCTCAGCTGCGGTGTGGCTCACTTCTAGTTCCTGAAAATGGTACACCGGTTTCCCCGGGGCCCCCACTCCCATCCCAGCATGACTCTGAAGGCATTCGTTCCCACTGCAAATGTATTGCATAATGAGTGTCCACTCCTTTAAAGAGATTTATTTAAGGGAGGGCAGCAAGCCTGAAAGGGGCAGTTGAACAAGGGAACTGCGTTTGTAGCTCTGTTCTCTAAATAATGTCTATTTTTGTGATTTTAAAAATAAATCCTGCTCATCAGAAACGTCGGCCAGAAAAGCTTTTGTTTGCGTGAGAAGGTGTTCTCTGATGCACGTGTTCACGTGGCACACCTGTAGTGAAAGTGCATCGTGTTGAGGCAGGCGGCTGTGCACGTGGTTGCGGTATTTTTTGGAGAAGCTCCAGCAGCTGGAGGCACAAGCAACATCCAGCCTGACTAAACTAGCAGAGACATTAGCTCAGTAGCGTTTGTACAGAAACACCATGAAATGTGTCACACAGGTAGAGACCTGAGTCAGCTGCAGAGAGACGAGTGTCAGGTGGCAGGAAGAAGCCTTTTCACACACCGACCCTACGCTGACCCCCGGATTTAAGTATCGGTGTCATTAAAATCCTACAGCTTCTTCACCTTAACGCACCGCTCGCATGACGTCTCCATCTGTAACGGCCATTTTTATTCACACAGCTCCTGTGGCCCGTTCGCTTGGTCCGTTTGTAGCTCGTGTGTTTCTCTGAAAGGGGAGTCGTTGACCCACATCCCAGTGTTTTTATTTTAGTTCTGGTTTGTTCCCCAGGTCCGATGCCTTCCGGAGCTTCGTTGACTACTGCCTACTGAAAATTCCTCAGGACAGACCCTCGTCAGGGGAGCTGCTACGAGTGAGTGGGCTTCCTCTGTAATCCTGCCAGCTGTGACCTCACTTCCTGTTTTAGTCAGTCCCTGAGCCATGAGGATGAGTCACACCCATCCACCCACGCACCCTCACACACACACACACACACACACACACACACACACACACACACACACACACACACACACACACACACAGCCTCTTCACCGAGCACCCTGCTGGGAGCTGCTTGTTATTTCTTTGGCTTTTTTATTATTTTTGTTGTAGCTTTACTTCCTTTCCCATGAAACCGTCTTTATGGGGTAGCTTGTGTGTTTGCTGCCTCCACATTCCTTTGATCAGGCTTCTACTGGTTCTACTGGTTATTGATGCATTATAAATGCTTCAGGTTTTACATGGAAGATGCTTCTCCCCATCCCCGCTGTAAACAGTGTGAGCGAGTTGCTGCCTTCCTCTCCTGAGGCGCCGGACAGTTTGCCAGAACCTCTTTAGAGCCGATCGATAGTCTTTCTCCATGGTCTCACCAAACTCCTCAAATGCCCGAAAATTTTTCTCGGCAACTGCCACTGCTGCACCCCGCTTGGCTATCCGGTACCCGTCTGCTGCCTCCGGAGACCCACAGACCAGCCACGCCCTGTAGGCCTCCTTCTTCAGCCTGACAGCTCCTCTGGTGTCCACCAGCGGGTACGGGGGTTGCCATCACGACTGGCACAGGCCACCTTACGACCACAGCTAGCAACAGCCGCCTCAACAATCGCAGAGTGGAACAAGGCCCACTCGGACTCAATGTCCCCCACTGCTCTCGGGACGTGGTCAAAGCTCTGCCGGAGGTGGGAGTTGAAGACCGTCTTGACAGGTTCTTCTGCCAGGCGTTCCCAGCAGACCCTCACTATGCGTTTGGGTCTGCCAGGTCTACGCAGCATCTTCCCCTGCCATCTGATCCAACTCACCACCAGGTGGTGATCAGTTGACAGCTCCGCTCCTCTCTTCACTCGGGTGTCCAAAACATACGGCCGCAGGTCAGATGATACGACTACAAAGTCTATCATCGACCTGCGACCTAGGCTGCCCCGGTACCAAGTGTACCGATGGGCATCCTTATGTTCGAACATGGTGTTCGTTATGGCCAAACTGCGGCTTGCACAGAAGTCCAATAACAAAACACCGCTCGAGTTCAGATTAGGTGGGCCGTTCCTCCCAATCACACCCCTCCAGGTCAAGCTGTCATTGCCCACGTGAGCATTGAAGTCCCCCAGCAGGACAATGGAGTCCCCTGATGGAGCACTATCTAGCACTCGTCCCAGGGACTCCAAAAAGGGTGGATACTCTGAACTGATATTTGGCCCATAAGCACAAACAACAGTCAGGACCCGTTCCCCGACCCGAAGGCGCAGGGAAGCTACCCTCTTGTCCCCCGGGGTGAACGCCAACACACAGGCAGAGAGTCTTGGGACTAACAAAAAGCCAACCCCAGCCCTCCGCCTCTCACCCAGAGCAACTCCCGCAAAGTAGAGTGTCCAACCTCTCTCAAGGACTTGGGCTCCAGAGCCAATGCTATGTGTCGAGGTGAGTCCGACTACATCTAGCCGGTACCGCTCAACCTCTGCCACAAGCTCCTGCTCCTTCCCCGCCAGCGAGGTGACGTTCCATGTCCCAAAAACCAGTTTCCTTGTCCGGGGATTGGACCGCCAAGGCTCCCGCCTCGGTCTGCCACCCGATCCACATTGCACCGGACCCTTCATGTTCCTCCTGCGGGTGGTGGGTCCACAGTTGGATGAGCCCATGTATCCGGTTCGGGCTGGGCCCGGCCGGGCCCCATGGGCGAAAGCCCGGCCACCAGGCGCTCGCTCATGGGCCCCAACCCCAGGCCTGGCTCCAGGGTGGGACCCAGTAACCCTCCGGGCCGGGTACTCCGACTCTTTAATTGTAAATCCATGAAAGATCCTGTGAACAGTTCTTTGTCTCACCCTTCACCTAAGACCAATTTGTCATGGGAGACCCTACCAGGAGCACAAAGTGCCCCCGACAACATAGCTCCTAGGATCATTAGGGCACTCAAACTCCTCCACCACGATAAGGTGACGGTTCAAGGAGGTTTTTGTGTTTCTGACCAAAGTTTGTTTTTGACACAGAGCAGAAGATTAAAAGAGCAGCGTGAAGTAGTGATAACAATAACGACACCAATCGTTATCACAGTAAAGATAATAATAAAACATAAATGACCCAAACGGACCCCAGGAATAGCAAGCGTTATCGTTTATTTCATGGTTAAAAACTGAAACCTCCAGTTTAATTCTTAATTAATCTAACCCACGCTGCCAAACTAATGATTACACAAACAGTCACATTTAACTTTAGGTGTTTTAATTTAGTGACCATTTAAAAACTTTCCACGTCTGCTCCTAAGAAAAAGACAGATGAAGCTAACCGTGTTTGCAGCGTTCATCATTTTGTTTGTGTGACCAACAGCTAATCCTATTGGGCCTCTAAGAGTTTAATGTTCTTGTTTATCATGCTGAACGGTGCAGAGCGCCACCAAGGCTTACAACACCTCCTTTGCTCCAGAGGGAAGGTGTGAGGTCTTCTAGCAGCTAATAAGGACCCGTGAGTGGTAAACTAAGTAGGATGGAGGCTTGACCGGTCTCTTCCTGACATTCCTGACCTAAATTCAGACAAAAACGGGCATTAAGTACGGATAACGACCCGTCCCAGTTTTAGAGGGTTAAAGGTGTTTGGTCTCAGAGATTAATACCCTGCTCTTGTTTTGGCTGCACACACACACACACACACACACACACACACACACACACACACACACACACACACACACACACACACACCTTAAAAGGTAAGATCGGGTCACTAATCTGTTGGCCTTCAGGTCTTTGTGTTCGTGGCTTCAGGGTAAACGCCTCCTCGCTACCCGCCTGCCTGAGAATATTATAAATCGGAGAATAAAAACCACTCGCTCCTTCACATAGAACCACCCTGTGTTGTAAATTTGAAAACTTCCTAGAAAATAATCATTTTTACTTTGAAAATTCAGTCCAACCTCAGAATTTTACAGTTTCTGGAAGTGGGAAAAGTTTATTTTTTTTACTGTAACTTGATACATTTCTGAACAAAATAAACTAACAGAAAAAAGAAGACATTAAAATGTTTATTTAATGAGGACGAGTTTTTAATAAAGAAAATAAAAAACAGAAAAATGCACATTTTACAACCAGCTAGTTTTTGACTCTATAAGTGGCCTAACTGAAGATGCTTTTGCAGCAGATGATCATTTTAATCCTGCAGATCTCTAACATGTAGCAGCAACAGGTTAGCTTAGCATGAACAGCCTGGATGGAAAATAAACATCCGAAGTGTTGATATTTGTCTTTAGGCATCATAAAGTCATGATATCTGAATGAATACATCTCTGAGGTCACATCATTTAAAATAAATCACTCTGCAGTAAAAAAAGAAGGAACTTTAGGTTCTTTAGGAACGTCGTCAGGAATTTTTCATAGATGGGAGTGAGCAGCCTCCTACTACAGTAGCTCCCTCCGAAAACCGAACAAATCTCACTCATCTCTGTTTTCAGAGTGCGATGTCACTCCCTTGTGTCCTGGCTAACCCATCACACACACACACACACTTACATGGAGAGTAAGAGCGAGGCCTTCAGATGGATCCAAACATGCTTTTGTAGCATTTATCTTCTATTCTGGTTTCCTCAGGCTGCAGACAACTCATCCATTAAATCACTCAATCTTTTAAGAATGAGGGTGACTCAGAGGAACTGTGTGTGTGTGTGTGTGTGTGTGTGTGTGTGTGTGTGTGTGTGTGTGTGTGTGTGTGTGCGTGTGCGCGCGCGCTGAACAGGAAATCTGCCTTCTTCTTTTATTATCTATAAAAAGTACATTAAATGTTAAAATGATGTTTAAAAATAGTCACGCAGCTCTCAAGCCCACCAATAGAGACTAAATCTTTATGGAAAATAAATAAAAAAAAGAGTTGTTGACTAAAATGTTCCTCGTATCGACCCGTTTTTGAGTTTCACCGATGAGCACAAGGAAAATATCACTTCTATGTTCGATGGCTGCTCACCGTGCATCTGCGGGTCCTTGGCTCCTTACACCTGCAGATACCCTGTGCACAGATTTTAGGACTTTTGCCTGATTTAGTTTTTAAAAATTCAGCCGTGTATTTTTCCCTTTGATTCTTTTGTAAACCAATCCTGTATCAATATTTAAACTGATGAATATTATTATTTATAATGGAAATAAAACCAACGATCAACTATTAAACCTTACAGGAGTTTATCTACCTCAGCTGCTGAATGTACAACATTAAAGCCCCCAAAGGAAAATCTCTTGGAGAGTGAACAAAGCTTGAAGGATTGAGTCTGTTTGGACAAAATAACTTGTTTCTGTGGTGCTGAGACTCTGGATAAGCAGCCGACCGGCGCCCTCTAGTGATGGCCACCGCAGCGCTGCTCATTTGCAACAAAAACGCATTAAAAGTCCAGCTGTGCTTAAAAATGAAAAGCTATTTAAGTACTTGGGCTGTTCTGCATAAAGACTTCAAGGTTATTTAATTCAAAATCTTCTTTCCAGCGTCGTTCATTGTTAGAAATAGTTTTTTAATCTATTTAAGAATCAACACAAATGTGTGTCCCTGCCTAAAAGAGCTAAATTAGCACGTTTCCAAGATTAAAAATCGACCTTTAAGGCTCTAATTATTATTATAAGGTGAGACATTAATGCCAAGCATGTTTTATCTGATTCTTGTTGTTTTCGTTTCCCCGCTGCAGCATGATTTTGTACGTCGGGAACGCTCGCCGCGCATCCTCATCGACCTCATCCAGAGGACCAAGGACGCCGTGCGTGAGCTGGACAATTTGCAGTACAGAAAGATGAAGAAGATTCTCTACCAGGAGAAACACAACGGGCCGATGGGAGAGAGCCAAGAGGACGAAGAGGTGGGAGGATGAGGAGAGGAATAGCTGCTAAGATAAACCAGAGTAACCCCGAGGAAAACAGGAAGCTGTGAAACCGAGTCCCTGACAGTAGAACAGATGCTTACCCCAACACGTCAAGTCACAGCCAAATGGAGATGACTCCATCTTGTTTTGGTCTGTTTACGTTTGTTTTTAATGTCCTAAAACATTTGCTTTCTTTCATGTAAACTAATCAACTCCAGCATCTGTCCGACCTTCATGGTGGAGCTGAAACCTGACCTTAAAGCTCGTTTTTCCTTCGTACGCAAAGATCGTCATCAGAATCAACAAATATAATGTTTGTAGTACAATCACTAGTCTCTGAGGACAACATGCTCACCGCTGTGGTGACATTCCTGGAAAGAACCTTCCCAGAATCCTGATAGACCGCAAAAACCTGTCAGGAGCATCAGATGCTAGACGTGGATCAGGAGATCCCGTCGTCAGCCAGCAGCTGCAGGTCTACACTCTCCAGGGACCGTAGTGGGACTGAGGTGTTTTAAAAGTCCCCCCTGCTCCTCCAGGCTGGCTTGGAGAAGTTTGTTATGACGCCGTAGTTCAGACCAGGTGTGTTGAAGCAGAGAAACATCTAAAGTATGCAGGGAGCAGAAGCTAAAGCAGCATGGTTGAAGTGACCTGCTCCAGCCGGAGCAGCCACCAGACCTCTGCAGCGAGCACCCACTAGTAGCCACACGGTTCCAGGCCCACCCTCTGGGACTGACGCTGTTTTTGTTTGTGTTTTTCATCAGAGCTTGTGTTAGAAATGGTTCTTTTTTCTAACGAGTTTGAGTCTAAATGTGTTTCTGGACGTGCGTGAACGTTTCTCTGCAGGACAGCGAGGCAGCTAGCTCAAAGATGAACAGCCTGGGCAGCAACCACTCCATCCCCAGCACCTCGGTCAGCACAGGTAGCCAGAGCAGCAGCGTGAACAGCATCCAGGAGGTGCTGGACAGCTGCTCCGACATGACCATGATGCACCCCCAGGACTACAGCAGCAACCTGGACAGCAAAAAGGTAAAGGTCAGAGGTCAGGATGCTTTTGTTGGGACTGGATCGAGCTGGATACTAAAATATTTAAATTCTGTCTAAAACTCGCAGCGTAAAGTCCTTTACTACATCCACTTCCTTTCTGAGGTGATACATTTGACCGTTTTTAGAAGTAAAAGGAACCGTGTCTGCAAACATCCTCTGGTTTCTGTCGCCGTTCTCACAGGTGTGCATAAGCCCCGCCCCTCTGAAACCATGGAAACCATCGACACTTTTGGTAGATCACTTCAAGTTCCTCACTGACATTCACACTTGTGGATAAAGGCTGTGCATGCGCCAATTCTTCATCTGCCGTTACACACACACACACACACACACACACACACACACACACACACACACACTCGGGTCAAGGCTGATTTTCTCAAAGAAAATCCATCACAAGTGAAAGATCAGCACGGAGAGGACGTCCCTTCTGCCACTCTCCTCCGTTGTGTTTGGCGCTGCGTGAATGCAGCCGTCGCGTAACGAGCCGCCCGCCGCCGCGTTGTTCTGAGTTCAGCGGCTGAGCAGAGAGCGGTTCAAAGCGACACGCGCTGTTTTGGGATGGTGACGAGCTTTCCTCCTCACATGGATCAAGTCCGCAGACCGCCAGAGATGTTCAGACCGCTTCCTGGGGCGGCTGAAGCCGACACAAGTGTGTCAGAGACCCAGACGTGGTTCAGATTCAACTGGATTTGTAGTCGGTGAAGTTTTCTAATATTTATGATGAAGAGTTCAGCGTTCCTGTTGGGAAAACCCTCTGGATAGTTGTGTGGGAACGTTTAAGTTGAATGTCTGAAGTTAGCGGCTGAATCGGTTACAGTTGACTGGTTTTATGTTGCTCAGGATCACCAGTATAACTGGGATGACGGGATCCACAGAGACCACCGGCCAGAGCTCAGACCGTCCTGCTCCGACAGGAGCGGCCCGGCCCAGAACTACAAGAACCAGGGCCGCTTCGCCACCATCAAGTCTGCCTCACTGGTAAGATCTCATCTGTTCTGATGTTTTCCTTCTTCACATTCTGAGAATGAGTTTTTTATCTTGAACCTTGAGCTGCTCTGGAAGCCGAAACGCGGCTCAGGCTGGGCGCAGACGCCAGAGATGTGTGGGTGTGATGACATCACACAGCATCAGGGTCAGAGCTGTAGTTTTATCCTGCATCTCTGTCTGTTTGGGCTTCTCCTTCTCTCCTTCTCCTTGTCTTTGTTTCTCCTCTCCTACTACCCCCCCTCCCCCCGGCCCGCATTTGTTATTACATCGCTCTCGGATGTGACTCAATACTCTAATATAAAAGGAGGGAGGAACACCACCTGACTCTGTTTCTATGTCTCCCCTTCTCTCCCTCCCTGTCTGTTGTCATGGAAACCAGCTCTAGTAACTATAAAGTAGTTGTGGTGTTGTGTAAAAGCGTGTGCGAGTGTGTGTGTTCACCCATCCGTGACCCTCTGGGTCTGAAACCAGAACATCGGCGAGTGATGAGGATGCGCGTGCACGTGTGTCCTCACGCTGTCCTTGACCAGAGCACAAGACGGCGATCATTCAAGTCCGGACGCGTCGTCCGCCGAACCCCTCCAGCCTTCATTGCTGCTCTTTCAAGTCCGGTTCTTCTTCTTCTTCTTTTTGTTCTGACAAGAACAACAACAGGATCCGTGCAAGTCCACCGGGACCACTCGCACAGACGCGTCGCTGTGAAACGCGGCAGGCTGGTGAACATCAAAGATGCACGTCCAGTCCAGAGACGGGTCTTTTGTTAAGAGTCCGATCACCCGTTTGACTGGAAATGGTCTCGGCTGAGTTTTGATTTCACAAATTAAACTTTTATTTTAGGACCCCCCCCCATCATCATCATCAAGAGCAGCATCTTCCCGACAACCACACATGATGTTTTCAGTCTGTTTTAGAGTCGGGAGCACACTCGACGGGCGTAGCTTTGGCAGTTTGTCCTTAAAGAGAATACAGGATCCGGTACAGCTCGGTATCGCTCTAGCGCCACAGCGCTGGTCCTGCCCACCAGCGCTGAAAGAGATGACATCATCCTTTTCCTGCATCCTCAGATTGGCCTCGACTCGTCGAGACTGGAAACAGGTAGACAAAGAGGAACGGCGAGAGATGAAGGAGGGGAGTCCAGATGGTGCGAGGAGACGGATAACTAGATGGGAGGATGAATGCCAGCAGGAGAACAAGAAGGGAATAAAAGCCAAATAATGTGGCATATCCCTCAAGGAGGATTCCTAAGTGAAGTAAAAGTACATATTTAAAGGTCAAAGGTAAATTACCATGTGGGGGGGGTAGAAGAGTAAAGCCTGTCACCTTCTTCTGTGACATTAAGAATAAAACCTGATCTGAAATATGAGAGAAGAACAAGGATGTGCTCAGAAGAGCGTATCTGAACAGGGAAAATGAAGAAAGATGCAGAGTGGGAAGGATGTGAGCTCCGGAGAGAGAGGAGGGATTATTCCGGGTTTGGGAAAGTCACAGACCAGAGAGGTGCTGCCCTACCTGCAGACTGACCTGAAACACGTGCACCAGCCTTCAAAGCTGCATCATTCAAGCTGATTTATCCTACAGGTGATGCTGGGGGGGATCAGACCGAGAGCAGACGTGTGCTCCTACAGGAAACGGGAGCGTTACACCGCTCTCGGTGGAGCCCTTTCACTTCCTGTTTTCAGCCCGATGACTTCACCACGTGTCTCTAAACGTCTCCTGTTTTTCTTTTTGTTGTTTTTCATCTTCGTGCTTAAAATAAGTCCCAGCTCTTCAGAGGCAAGACGTCTTTGTTCCTCTGAAGCTCAGGAGCGTTTCCACACCACCTCTGCTGCTCAGGAGGTGGAGCAGGCTGTCCGGTAATCGGGCTGATCCCGGCTCCTGCTGTTGTGTCCTTGGGCAAGACGCCTAACCCATGTCACCTGCTGTTGGTGGCCGGAGGGACCGGCGGCCGCTGTGGCTACATGCAGCTCATCACCACCAGCCAGGGTGGTGTAAAGCGCTCTGGAGTCTGACCCTGACGGGCGCTGCGGGAACCGCGGCTCTGATCGTCAGAGTCCTGCTCTCTGGGAACAAGCAGGTCGACTGTCTGTGTTTGCCTGTTTTAGAGCTTCAGCAACAACAGGACGTCGATTCAGACGGCGTCCAGCTGCAAAATACGCAAAATTAAGAAAACAGTGGAGCTGCTCCGTTCCCACTGCCCCCCCCACCCCAAACCTGAACATGATCTCCTCTCCAGTCCCAGAGCCGTGTGTGAAAGGAGCCATCACATCACATGACATGACTTGGCCCTTTGTGACCGTTTGCAGAGTGGCGCTGAAGCGAGTGACCAGGATTGGGAGCTCTTACAGTAGGGGTATTGATTCAGCCCAGATTAAGGACCCCCCCCTCCCCCGCCCCCCGGCTAGCTGCTCTTAATTAGTTTGTCAGCGTTTGCTTTTCTTTTTTTTTTCTGTTTTTGTAAATTCATTTTCTTTCTGTTTTTTTAAACCTCCCCCCCTCTCGCCCTTCTCCATTCTGACCCCCCCTCGCCCCCCCTCCCAACTTCTCACTCTTTCTCAATGAGGTATTCATGTGACCCACCTGCTGTCCACCGCTTAGCGTTGGCTCTACTAAAGAGCCGCTCTGTGCTCTTGTTGGCCCGCGGCGTCGGCCAGCCTCATTCGCAGTTCACACGTCTGCCTCGGCCGCTCGTGCCCGGGGCGCCAACCAACAAAGGGGAGGGGGTTTCGGCGTCGTGTCTCGGGGGGGTCTCGGGGGTCGCATCGGCGCTCGGGCAGGGTTCTGTCGGGTGTGGGATGCCGCACACGGCTCCTGGATGCTGTGGTACTTGGTTAAAGTCACCATCATGTTTGGCCTGAGGAGCTCAGGTGGAAGCTACGAGAAGATGCGGAGCGAATACTACTTAGACGTGGAGAACCCGTTCTGTCCTCAGGTTGGTGTCCCAGCTGGAGAACGTGTTCCCGCTCGTCTCCAGTTTTTTATCTTGGACCAGAAAGGGAAGCAACCTTTGGAAGTTGTTTGCAGATCTGCTTGTTTCAGCGTCGTCGTGGGTCTTTATCTGTGTGATGGGTGCACCGGTCAGAGGAAAGGGCTTCTGTTGGGCTTTGCTCATGAATGTTTCTCTCTCGTTTGTTTTCACCCAGCTGCACCTAACAGCACATCTGTTTTTGTCTTAAGATCTTGGAAAATTTAATCTAATTAGAATAATTTCAGGCGTCTGCTACTTGATTTTATCTTCCAATCCTCTCGAGTTGTACTTGTGTTCAGACTGCCGTGCATCTCGTCCTCCACAGGTGACCAAACAGATTCATGAACATGAGCAGGAGAGTGAGCTGCGGGAGCAGATGTCGGGCTACAAGCGGATGCGGCGGCAGCACCAGAAGCAGCTGATCGCCCTGGAAAACAAGCTGAAGGCCGAGATGGACGAGCACCGACTGAAGCTGCAGAAAGAGGTGGAGACGCAGGCCAACAATGCCTACATCGAGCTGGAGAAGCTGGCCAAACGCCACGCCGTGCAAACGGAGAAGGAGGTGGGATTAGTCATGGAGGCATAAGTTATTACGCAGATGATCTAAAGTTTACCCGGCAACCACTGGGAGAAAGGTTGGCTCTGGAAAAGTAATTTTCCATTTTAGCCCAGTTACTTTAATCCTGTTGGGAACTCCTGGTAGTCGGGCTGCTCAGTTAATCGAATTTTAATCACGATTACGATCTGAGTTTTGAACGATTATACAAACAAAACAAGCCGATTATTTGCTCCTCCCACCTGCGCTGCCCTGAGTTGCAAATGAAGCGCTCCTCCCACAGTGTTGCCAACTTAGCGACTTTGACGCTATTTCCTAACAGCTTCTCAGACCCCCTTCTTGACTTTTTAAATCTTAAAAGTACCTGGCGAACACCTCAGAAACATCTCTGGTAACCCTTAGCTTCTTTCTGGATAACTGCCGTCGACACATCCTGCAGGTTAGCTAAACACTCCGCCTGCGCTCCGGACCGTTCTTCAGGACATTAGGAAAGGGAATGATGTAGTGATGTGTCGGTCGCTAAAGAAACGGCTCTCGGAGTCGGCTCCCTGTTGGATTAACCAGAGTGAGTGACGCACACACCGCACCTGCGGACTCCTGAGCCGCTAAAAACGGCTAAATGTGCGCGTGCAGCGCGCTAAACACACGTGCAGCTTGCCCCGATTGCTGTGAGACCGGGGTGGGGGGTGGGGGGTGCAGCTGTGGTTGGGACAATTATTACATTAACTGATGGACTTGTAAATAAATAGTTTATAAATAAGTTCCTCACGCTGATAACTAATAAGTAATCTCTCTGAGGACGCGGTGCTAGTGCACTCTCCTACAGCACCTTGACACGACACAGTAAATGCTATGCAACATTTTGTGAACATCAATTTATTTGCATGTATTTGTTATAAATGCCACTGTATAATTCTTGCTGTCAGTATTTGCAAGATGTTGGTATTTGGGTCTGTACTGGTTAGACTTACATGAGTTAAACCAAGGTCTATAGTCCTTGGGTCATAGACTATGAGCTATAAGTATATTGGTTTTTTTATACTGGGAATCAGGAGTTATTTTAGTGATCATCTTGTTTCTTATTCATTGTTGTCCTGATTGTGCCCTGAGCAGTTTTATGACTGAATAAAAACAAATAAAATCAACATAAATTGAAAAATCGTCCTAAATAATCGTGATCTCAATTTCAGTCACAATAATCGTGATTATTGTTTTTGCCATAATCGAGCAGCCCTACCTGGTAGTTTATACCAATATTAAAGACATTTACACACCACTTTCATCAAAGCAGCATATCTGTCACACATCTGCAAGAGATGATGTCATTCTAACATGTAAGCAGCAAATAAAAGCCACATCATTTATGCTTTTATTTTGACATTAAGTGCTGTTTGAGGAAATTACAAGATTGCATCAATATAACTGATACATACATACAAACATACATACAGACATACATACAAACAAACATACATACAAACAAACACATATACATAAATATATATGTATGTATATGTGTGTATGTGTCTGGATTAGGATGGTTGTTGTGATTTTGGTATTTATTTTACGTGTCATTTGCTCTCAGCTCTTCCCCTCACTCCTCACTCAGCTGATCGCATCTCCTGTCTCACACCAGATGAAGACGGCGCTTGCAGATGAGAAGAAGTTCCAGCAGCAGATTGTGGCCCAGCAGAAGAAGGAGCTGACCACCTTCCTGGATACTCAGAAGAAGCAGTACAAACTCTGCAAAGAGAAGATTAAGGAGGTTTGTGGGCTCCGTTCTCCTGTTTGAGTGTGGGAGGGCTGACTCAACAGTAAACAGCAAACACTCATACTCAGTCGCTCCGACGTGGAGGTTTTGAGTCACCCAGCCTACTTACCAGGTACCTACACATAAATAAAAAGAACAGAGACAACCAGGAGGGTTTGTGCCTCCACGACCTCCAGACAAAGCCCAGAGAATGCTGCAACGAGCCGGGATGCGGCTAGTTTTTGTGACCAGAATTAGGTCAGCACAGTTAGAAGACAGCATCACTGGCAGGGAGAGATATTTCCCACCAACCGAGGGATGCAACAGAGTTAAACACCGAGGGGAGCGGGGATCAGACCCTTGTGCTGACTGCATTAGTGCTAGTTGTAGATTAGACGGATGTGAGGGTCTGCTGTCATGAACCAAAACCCTAAACACGCTCCGTAATGCACCTTCACCCCAAAACAAAGAGTGAATTTTATTCTTATGAACGTGCATCTTCACTGTCACCATCCCATCCTCTCTCAGGAGATGAACGAGGACCACAGCACCCCCAAGAAAGAGAAGCAGGAGCGTCTGTCCAAGCACAAAGAGAACATGCAGCATTCCCAAGCCGAGGAGGAGGCCCATCTTCTGGCACAGCAGAGGGTTTTCTACGAGAGGAACTGCCGCGCATTCAAACGCAAAGTCATGATCAAGAGGCATGACGTGGAGCAGGAGCAGATCCGAGAGGTGTGGAGGATCCTACAAACACAGACGTGCTTTCGGTCGTTGATTTGTGCGAGAACAGAAACCACGAGAGGTTTTTCACAGCTAGCAGCCGCGTGTTTGTGATAAAAACGGCCTTTGTTCAATAAGCAGATTATCGGTGAGCAGAGCAAGCCAAAACGCCTTAATCTGAAAAGCTGCTGTGGTGTAAAGTTTTAGTTCTGCAAAGCTTCCTGTGAGAAAAATACACAAACTCAGCAAATACTTGGAAAATAAAGGTTTTAGTGCCTGGGTTTACTTTCTTAGCTCTAATTTGAGTTGTTGCCGTTGGGCTACAGGAATAAACGCGACGATGTTCTATGTAGGAATGAAGAATAATTCAAACTGCATCTTGTTTAAATCCTCAGGAGCTAAACAAGAAGAAGACCCAGAAGGAGATGGAGCACGCCATGCTGATCCGCCACGACGAGTCCACGCAGGAGCTGGAGCAGCGGCAGCTGAAGACCCTGCAGAAGCTGCGCATGGATCTGATCCGCCTGCAGCACCAGACAGAGCTGGAGAACCAGATCGAGTACAACAACAGGCGAGAGCGAGAACTTCACCGCAAGCACGTGCTGGAGCTCCGGCAGCAGCCCAAGAACCTCAAAGTGAGTCGGCACGGAGGCCGCGGTTCGCTCTAGTTACCGGTTACCGTCCGATGGGAAATACACGACAGGAACGTTTCAAGATTCCTGCTTTTTTCCCAGATACATCTGGGATTAACCTGCAGGATGTCGCAAGCAACAAGCAACATCTTTAGTGGTTTTGATCCGCTTTAAACAGGCTGTGATGCAATCGAAATGTAATCGATTCCATTAGAAAGGATGTAAGAGCAGAAGAAAGGGTTCCCGTTGCTTTTGAGAGTATTTGGATCGGTCTGAATGTTAGGCCTTCTTCACAAACCAGATGTAGACCGGTAAAAGCAGCTTTCGTCTGCTTCTTTAGGCCCTCTTGTTACCGTCCCGTTATTGTCCAACAGGTGTTGGAGCTGCAGATCAAGAAGCAGTTCCAGGATACGTGC